CAACATTGGCAGAGCCTGAACACTGTGATCAGAAACCTCCTGGCACGGTTGTGTTATTGTTGCGGAGGATGAAGAGGGTGTGAGCCAGGTATACAAAGTTAGTTCAATAAAGCTTGGACCAAAAACAGCAAGTCAAGCAGGGGAGTCTGGACAGCAAGCCAAAACCGTGTCTGGGAATGCCCTATGAATATTTTTTTATTTCAGTGTATATTCCGTGCTTCAATGAATATTTGCAGGTATGCATAAAGAATAGCAACAAATGGATAAACTGTGAAAAGACAAAGCGGTCATTTGTGTTCATTTTCATGAAAGCCCGACAATAGACAATGATGTTCATGGCAACCATCATAACTGTGGAATGCGGAGAAGATAGGACGGTTTACAGTATCACATTCACTTCCCAAATCTCAGGTTTGACGGTTCAACCCATGCCAGCAGATCCCTGGAATGTCTTTCTTACCATGTGGGAAAACTTAACCTAACATGAGATTCGAGGGGTATTTGTTTTCACCTACTGTCACGTTGACGGTTAAGCCCATTCGAGACGGATCAAGCGCGATGCCAAGATCCGCCTTCAAGTCTTCATGCCACTTGAGAGACGTTTCCAGAGGTAAACACTTAACTGAGTGGAAGCCAGTCGAATATGGAATATTCACATGCATGTTTGGAGTAATATTGCGGGCGCCTGTTTTTGCGTGGATATCTCAACATCTCCCAAGTGTTTTTCACGACACAGTGATCCCAGATGTGGCCTTTGTGCTGTCGTCCAGCCCGGCACTCTCACTCTAACCAGGCTGGGACACACGCCACCGTTTTGGTTCCTAAGAATCATGAGTTCCCCCCTTTAAGGCAACACGCTGTTTATATGTGCTGTGCCAACTGGATCCGTGATTGCAGGCCACTGGTTTATTTTAATTAGCCATGGAGAGCAGTTCCGATGGATTTGAGTGTGACTCACTCCTTTTTCAAAACATTAGTCTCCACCAAGTCCCACTGTTGCCCTTTTGAGGTTGGGTTGCATTTCAGATTAGTAAAAAGGAGGGGCCATCCCTGATGTGTGCCATGTATACTGTATGTGTAGCTGTGTGAGTATTATATATGTGTGTCTCTCAGTAAAGGAAAGTGTAACTCTTGCAAGGCTTGCAATTAAAATGTAATTAAAGACCCTCAGCACTTCTCCTAAAATGTTTTCTATAAGCTTTCTTTAAGCTTGTATTTTGGGATTTAAAAAGCACTCAAATTTGTATTTTCTGGCACCAAAAAAATCTTCTACATTTTTAATAGCATATCTTTAATCAAGTTAACAAAAAATCCACAAGTCTGCAAAACATCTGGTTTTCTGTTGCTGACACAGGAATAGTGCACCATCTAATAGACTCAATTTGACATCCAATTTACTGCACTCAAGATGGCCGTCCAACTCTTCCACCATTCACAGTTACGACACAGTGATATCCAACTGTGCTGATTTCGGCATTTCCAATGAGTGTGAGGAACAAAAGTGGAAGAACACACCTGTTTTAGTGAGGAACTGGCTCATAGGTAGTAGAAACCATTCAATAAACAGACATTGATTTATAGAAGTGTGTATCTTTCCTCTACACTCTATTCAATGCTAAACACAAGTCAAATGTGATTTTTGATCAATTTAACAAAAGTTGCCGTTTTATAGTTTCTGTTTAAATGCAGGACGTTAAAAATAATCCTAGGAATTGCTTTTCCTTTTGTCAACAAGTGATAAGTTGTCTGTTGCTGGCAGAACATTTCCAACTATGTTATTTCAAAACCATACCTAAACTTTTTGTGTAGAAAATGTAAATATATGTAATCTCATGACCAAGAAAACTGTCATCTATCAATGGACCATCACAAACCCAACAGTTTACAGTATATTTTAAAAGTAAACTTTTTTCCAATCTTCAAACCCCAAAAAATTAGACCAGAACTATTGAATCAGAGCTGAAACTTCAAAAGGTAAGCACTGAAATGGCTATATTATTAAATAATATGTTTTTGTGATTTAAAAAATGAATTTACATTTTGAAAGTCATTATTTTGATATTGTCCGAAGACGCTCAGTTTGGAACAGAACCAATTAACACCATACAATAACTAGTGGGGAGCGTTTTCCCCCGTGACACCAGCAAGTCATTTCTTTAAGTGAATCTAGTTTACTCAAAACATATGAGATGAATTCAAGCGGCTTCAAAATGGCAGGAAAGATGGCTCTTCCCGAGCCACATCAATACACACAGTACACAGACGTAGCCACTTGCAGACAAAAAAAGTGGTCTGACATTACTAACTTAGTGGTTTGGTGTTTGGAGGGTGAACTTTTATTTCATCTGCCAAAAGATAGCAACCCTTTATTCTTCCTCTAACTTCAATTGTATGATTTATCTCTACCTCTCTGCAGCATGTTGTTTAGACCCTTTGTGTGGAACATCTCCATATAATAAACCAGCCAACTTTCTATTGCAACCACTAAACATGAAATTCTGCTTTTTCACAGCCCAAGAGGAGCTGTAACTAGATGACAGTCCTATCCATCACACCTTCATTGTGCCCTTCAAACTGCCAAATATTGTGTGGGAAAGACAATTCCAGCAATTGCTTCTTACTTGATTCTTTTATTGTTGAAGAAAAACAGCGCACTAACCCGTACGCCTCGGCAGAGCACTGTTTAAACACTCTTAACTGTTAAAGTCTGCAGTTGCATGAGGATCAGTTACATTCTTTATCTCACCTTGTAGAGCTTTTCCCAACAAGAACTATACATTTTCTGACTTGCACTGCTCGACAGCGGACTTTTGTGTATGTTTAGTGCTTTTTATCTCCTCTTTTTCACATTGGATTCAAATTAATTTCCTCGCAGCTGTTAACAGAGGTTGTAGGAAAAAATTGGGTTGTAATTATTAAAAGTCTACAGGGGGAAGTTACATAAAACACCAACAGGGTGAGAAAGCAGCCAAAACCATAGAGTCATGGTTCTCTAGAGAAAGAAAAAAAGAAAACTTACTGGCAAACACATTTGTGAGTAATGGCCAAGAGTTGTCTGGTTTCAATCAGTAATTCTCCTTTAATTATTAAGTCTCATAAACACCTTTTTAAACATGTAACAAAACATCTGAATGTAAAAAGCACGTAATCAGCAGCCAGAGTTCAGTAAAATAGTAATGTGTGTCCATATGTTTGGACAAAACTTATTATTCACTAGCAAAATGGAAATATTTTGAAACACTGGATCCTAAAAAGTATTAAATCCAAAAAGCAAATACACATGTGTGTTTTGGAGAATTTGTTAATTCATATCAGTCTGTAAAATCACCATAATTTCTTAGGGAACGTTGCCCGTGTTCATGTAAACTCCGTATCCATTTCACACTTTATAGGATGCATATCAGAAATGTCGGCCGGCGCCAAACAGATGTATCACATTGTGTCTTATTGCAATTGGAAGGATGTGAAGAAGAAATATTACAGAAATGTTAAACATAGCAAACCCAAATATGACGAAGAGGCATATCATCCGTTAAGCCTGAACGGAATGTCTTTGGGTCAATTACCAAACAGGTTGTATTTGTTTTAACTACCTAATTCAAATAATCATCACCTGATAATAAAGCAACCACTGAGGAAAGAAATATAAAATAATGTGGCAATGCCCTGAAGAATGTCAGTAGTCAGAAAGTACTTGCCTGTCGTACTGCAACACTTTTCAATTCCTGACTCATCCAGCTTGGCACATTAAAATAACAGCCTACACACTGAAACAATTATGAGAATAATATGGGGTGTTTTAACAGCTGTAGACTGGGGGTGGGCAGGGTGAGTGGCTGCGGGATTCGATGAATCGTGGAATGCCAAGAGAGGAGAGACCTATCAGGGAACCAGAATACTGAACATGTTCAAATGAAATGCTACACAAAGGTGCAGATGTCTTGTGCCAGTAGAGAATTCAATAAGCCAGATGACACATCTTTGGTACCATACAGATATAAATTGAGTTTATGAATAATGTCATGTGAATCTAGAGAATTATGAAGCCTTTCTGAAGGTCAGAGTTTCTGCTCTGAGTAAAATATGAATTGTCAGTTATGTATTCCTATGTCTTGAAATTGTGGATAGGCCTACGCGTATAAAGTAATCTATCTGCTGAATATGAAGCTAACTTATCATGGCCGGAAAGAGGTGAACTCAAAGCCTAGTTCTGTCCAAACGTTAAAAAAGGAGACTCTTGACAGACTGCTACAACCAACAAGACCATTGTGCTGAATGCAGTAGGCTAGCTTTTTGTAGCCTTGCTAGCTTTTTCTACATGCTATAGAAGAAAGTAAACAGCGAAGAGGCATATTACCAACTGTCCTTAAAAGATAGTACAACTATCTGAAGCAACCAAAAAAAACAATAAAGCTGACACTTCTTTATTTGACATGCTAGTAAGTTAGCACTATACACTGGTTATAAAAAGCATTTTATTTTTGACCTTAACAGTTGATATGAGGTTAGGGATTCTGTTTAGGCGATATCATGACACGTGCAGACTATGTGGCTGAAACACACCTGGAAATCGTTTCAAATTGAAATCAATAACTTTTGATGTTTTGGCTTGAAGTTTGCTATGTGTTTTAGCCTCAAATGTCTGCGCGTAGGGAAACAGTTTTTGATAAAGGAACCATTTTGTCTTTCACCTTTCCCCCTGCCGATCATTGACCGGTCGAGGAGTAAACTGGCTCCTTTCCAGTAACAAATTCTTAGGTTGCTTAAACGCTCATCTTGCTCCTACATACCCCTTTGGTGTCCATGACTGATACTCCTCTCACCACATGGGCCCCTGGGAAAAGCACATACGATGCTCCACTCCATGACCCAAAACATCTGCTGCTAATGTGGGTCAGAATTTATCCCCAGGTCCCGTAAAAAAAAATCCATGACAACTAAAAAACACAAATGGCATGATTCAACCTGGCTGTGTGTTATTTCGCAGCACTTGTATCAACATGCGAGGGAACCCGCTGAGCTGTGAAATATCTAAGCTAGGACCCCCGATGGTTCTCCACAGCTCCAAAAAAGGTTCTTCCTGGGCCAGGGACAGGTCACGCGAGGAGAGTCAGAACCCCAGAGAGTATTGACTGTACAAACAGCAGTCGAATTATCGTGTCTGGAAAGTGGCTAATGTTGTGACTGTTATAGGGTGGGTTAAAGAAAGATAGTGAATCCTGCTCCAGGGTAAAGCGCAATGAGCCTTTTCAAACGTTTTTGGAGTATTTTAGGGATTAAGTCTAAAGTAAAGTCAGGTTAAAAGTTTGAAGAAAATATAACCTCCTAAGGGAAGACTATAGTGTGCCCGACACTGTACTTTCTTGACTATCCCAAAGTGAATGACTCATTTTTGAACTACAAAAATCCCCAGCAGCCCCCACCTCAAACATCAAGCTCCTAAACCCCCCTAAAAGTCGGATTTTGTATGTGTGGGCATGCATGTGCAGTTGCTTAGCCCATAAGCAATGGGGGTCCGTTTTTCTTATCAGGAAACAGGACTTTTCCAAACAGCAAGAGCTCTGCTGGTATCAGGATTCACGGAGGGTAAACATCTGTACTCAACATGAGCGAAATACACTGAACAAAAATATAAATGCAACACTTTTGTTTTTGCTCCCATTTTTCATGAGATGAACTCAAAGATCTAAAACATTTTCTATATACACAAAATAACCATTTCTCTCAAATATTGTTCACAAATCTGAAAAAATCTGTGATAGTGAGCCCTTCTCCTTTGCCGAGATAATCCATCCCACCTCAAAGGTGTGGCATATCAAGATGCTGATTAGACAGCATGATTATTGCACAGGTGTGCCTTAGGCTGGCCACAATAAAAGGCCACTCTGAAACGTGCAGTTTTGCTTTATTGGGGGGGTCTGGGGGGGTCCGAAAACCCTAGGGTTAAACCCTAAGCCTAACATGTCACCCATTGAGCATGTTTGGGATGCTCTGGATCGGCGTATACGACAGCGTGTTCCAGTTCCTGCCAATATCCAGCAACTTCGCACAGCCATTGAAGAGAAGTGGACCAACATTCCACAGGCCACAATCAACAACCTGATCAACTCTACGCGAAGGAGATGGGTGACATGTTAGGGTTAGGGTTAGGGTTTAACCCTAGGGTTTTCGGACCCCCCCAGACCCCCCCAATAAAGCAAAATTGCACGTTTCAGAGTGGCCTTTTATTGTGGCCAGCCTAAGGCACACCTGTGCAATAATCATNNGGATAATAAAATGGGAACAATAAACGGGGTGCTCTCTTTTCCTCTCTCTCTCTCCGCTCAACGGTCCGTCACAGCGGCGGAGCTGTGATCATGCAGAGCTGCGTGTTCTCCGTCAGCAGCAGCTGATCTGATCTCTGATCTCTCTCTCTCACGTCCAGTTAGACTTCACTCGCGTTTATGTCCAAATCTATCAGATCTAGCTAGTTCTAGTTAATTATATGACTGCCTGCTTATCAAAGGAACTAAACAATAAGCGTTGCTTGGCAACGGTGTGTGGCCGCAAAGTATAGCGCAGCATTATGCATATGTTTATATGAGGGGTCAAAATCCCATGCTCATAAAATGCTCATATATTTGTTTCTCTTAATTCCCCACGCCCCAAAATAAATAAATGAATAAATATACACATTTTAGGAAAAGTAAGGAAGTTTGAGCAGTGTGGGTTTTATATTAACAGAGTTACACATATTTCAAAACGCGAAGCGTAATAACTGCAGTTAGCCTCCCTGTCAGAATGACAAAGGTCCTCAGTGAAGCACAAGCCCATGTTTCTCACTAAATTGTAAGCACAGCTTATTAAAAAGATCAGTTCAATGCAAGTATTATTATGATGTTATTGCATGAATTTAGTGATGGATTGTAAACATTTGAAATGTAGCATTTAAGTGTTTCTCAGGTTGTTGTTTTAACAAATCAGACACTGATGGTGCAGCGCTGCACTGTACCTCTTTATATAGGCATTCTTTCCCTAACAAATAGTTTTTGCGCTGATCAGGGGGTACTTGGCTGAATTTCTTTTTCAAAGGAGGTACATTATTGAAAAGGGTTTGAGAACCACTGGGTTAGATGATACAATTGATATCACATGAGTCTGTTTGTTCAATGTGAAGCTACAGCTAGCATACGGTTATCTTAGCTTAACACAAACACTTGAAACAGCTAGCTTAGTTCTGATCAAACACATTACATGTAATTTGTTCGACGCTTTTATCCAAAGCGACTTACTCAGTACTGTGGACAATCCCCACAGGAGCAATTTGGGGTGAAGTGTCTTGCCCAGGGACACAACGACATGCTGACTGCAGTGGGACTCAAACTTGCTATCCCCTGATTCCAAGTCCAGCACACTATCCACTGAGCCACAGCCTCCTATATATAACATATAACAACTAATTGTTGTTTTTGAAGGATGAAAGAAGATCAACTGTGTTATTTTGTGATATTTAATTGAAGGTATGTTTTATATTTTTGGATAGATGCTAGCTATATTCCCGCACTGCTAAAAGTATTAGTATGAGAGATGTATTGATCTTGTCATTAAACTTTCTGGAAAATTTGATTTAAAATACAAGGATTTTACAATTTATCCTGATTTAAAGGACATTTAAAGGTTTATGCGTTTATGAGTCTGATGGAGTGTTTCTGTCTCCTGCAGGTTTTTGCCACTTACCCCAATGAGGACTACGACAGGCGTAATGAAGACGTTGATCCCATGGCAGCGTCTGCAGAGTACGAGCTGGAGAAGAGGGTGGAGAGGCTGGACCTGTTCCCCGCAGAGCTGGAGAAAGGTAGAGAACATTATAAAGTTGATCTGTATCCAATGTTATTGTGTACAGGATTTGAGGATGTTTTTAAAGCATTGATTCAACCTGCTCGAGGCACCAGGAGGGTGGTTTGCAGGAAATTGGGAAGCAAAACGAATACGAGAAATTTGACATCCATGGAAACTGAATTTAAAATGATTATGGTTATGTGATAGACCTCCTGAACACTTGGATTTGTCATTTCCATTTCTCTTTGAAGCCAAAAGGAATAAAAAGCACCTGCATTTTTGTATTACTTATGTAAAAGGTTCTTCACTGACTGCCTTCTGCCAACCACCCCATTTCCTCCAGCCACACTTCCCTCAACATCCCTTCAACCTTATGCTCCATTAATATATTAATAGAAGACTATATTTAGAATGATGGTTACATCAGGATACCATATGTGGCCATCCTCTATATAAACGATATGCTGCTTTATGTTCATATGAACACCTCCTCACATTACACCTCAGGCAGGAAACCCGGGTGCTATCACTGATCTAACTCTCAAGTCACATAAAGCGTTAAACTGAAGTGTTTTGTCATAACAAGAGTCCTCGAGATGAAAAGAAGCTAGCGCAGGCTTTTATTTCAGCCATAAATATATTTAAGCAACATGCAGAATGCTGCTGTCACTTCAGAGAAAATACATCAGAGATAAATATCTGCGGTGAAGCTGCTGCGTGCCGTTTAACAACTCTGGACAGCAGTACATAACCACAAGCTGTAGTTATTAGTTATCCTGCTATATATGCTTGATTTAAAAATATTTATAAATGTGCTTCTGTAGTTCTGCATTTGATGAGGTAAAATAGGTCATTGTAACTACTATATACATATTTCATAAATGGTTAATACCACACTAAAATGATATGTGCTTTTTAAAAATGTGTATGAATTCCTCCTCCTGTGAGATAAGTATCTACTTTACTAATATGACAATATAGCAAAACCTAGTAGTAATTAATAAACACTTCAAATGTTTTTCAAAATGTTGAATATACTGAATGGTATTTCTTCACAGCCCATAGATTGTAATACCACAAGATACACTTATTGCTAATTACAATACACTGTAACAATGGAGGGTCTGCTTACTGACGGTTGATAGCAGTAGTGTGCTCAGAAATGCAGTAATGCGCCAACAAAGGCAGGGATTAAGTGAACTGCGAGCTAGCAATTATGGATGTAAACAATGCAAGGTTTAAAATTGGCTTTGTAAATGTTTTATGAGGAAGGAAATGCATTGTCTGGCCTCAAGGACACACACAATGCATTAGGTGTGCAACACTGTAAATGTTTATAACTTTGTTTGTTTATGAGAAAACTCCACGGGCAACTTTAATTTGACCACACCTGTGGGAAAGGGAAAGGGGCTCTTCAACTGCTCCACCCAAATGTATCTGTTCATGGTTCAAACGGACAGTTTTCAGCCAAAACGTACAACTGAATGAAAGCTCTGGATTACAGTCGCAGTATGGTAACAACGCGTCTGTTTCTCTCCTTTAGATGGTGAGGGTCTGGGCATCAGTATCATCGGGATGGGTGCAGGGGCTGACATGGGCCTGGAGAAGCTGGGCATCTTTGTGAAGACAGTCACGGATGGAGGAGCAGCACAGAAGGACGGCAGGTATGTTAAATCATGATAAATTCACCTCGGATCGTCCTGATTCCTTCACAAAACAGGCAAACTGGAAAGGCCTTTGTAAACCACATCTCAACCTGAGGTCGGTTTATTTGTAGTAATTTATCTCTTGCTTTATCAGCCCATTTATCTTTCCGATTCCTGCCAACTACGAAACGGTGTTGCTGCCAAGAACGAGGGCTCATAAATGGAGTGTTGCCTGTGTAGGCTTTAGTCAAAAGATGATGAGCGAAGGCCACAGATATGCTATTACTGAGAATCCTGAACTTCTCCCTCGACTGCCCCTCCAGGATCCTGGTGAACGATCTGATTGTGGAGGTGGACGGGACCAGTTTGGTGGGAGTCACCCAGAACTTTGCCGCCTCCGTACTCAGGAACACCTCAGGAACCGTCAAGTAAGTCCCAACTGAAATATCTTGACGTGTCACCGAATTGAAATGTAATGTAATGACTACCATTCAATGGATTTACATGACCACGTCCTTCATATCTCATCTAGCGTCATAATGATATCATATTTGTTGTCCTGTACTTTGTTTTATGACTAAGAATGCCTACAAAACTTTAAGGGACAGTTCAAAGAGTGCAATATGTCAATTTAGATTGCTTAGGTGTGAGAGGTCTTCCTACGCTCTCTTATAATGAAACTTGATGGCACAAGGCCTTATGTGCTCAAAGAGCCAATAACTAACCAAAACATAATTTTGTACAGAAATCATAACCCGGATACTAAAAAAAAAACAATTAGGACAACAACCGCCAATGAGGTGTAATTTGGTTGCTGTTGAGATTTTAAAATGTATGGCACTTGAGCACAGGTTATGTTATAATGGAGAGAAGAAAGACATTTCTAAGTACAATAGTATCAACACTACCTGGAATTACAGGGGCACTGTCCCTTTAAGACATTCCCACAAGACTCAGCTACACTGTTTAGAGCGAATTAGTAAACACTCACATGCTAGTGAACATGTTAAACTAAAATCGACATGTTAGCCAGCGGCGTATATTAATCTCAAAGCAATTCTCAGAGTTCTTTTAGTTTTACAGGCTCTGTCAAGCTGTAACCAGGACATGCGTGTTGTTGCACTTTTCTCGCTGTGACGTCACATTTCTTGCTCAAAGAGATGGATTCCTCCTGATATAGATACATATACCCAAACAACCGGTCTTACACGCAGGACTGACTTCTACCAACCACATCCTGCCCATTCAGCTCACCAGACTGTAGATTTATATCTCAAGTCTCACAGGGTCATGATTATACCCTTCAAGCTTCTTTCTGAGACATCCTGAATACGAGCCAAGGAATCCTCCACAGAAAACACAGCTTTGAGGAACAAATACACCCTGCATCAGAGTTATCATTCGAAAATGCCAGAGGGATATTTGTAGCCGAGCTCTTTGGCGGAACTGACTGTTTTTGTTAGTGTTGTGTGACTTGTGGAGATGAGAGACTTCTATAGATAGCTCATACATTATGGATCTACTGAAGTGATGGCACTGGTGCTCAGACCTATTCATGAAAAGCGTCAAGCAGACAGACAGAGGGACAGGGACAGGAAGTGCGTTTGTGAACATTTAATTACCCATTAGCTGCGTAGAAATTGAAAGGCGGCAGCGGCTGGCTTAATAACTGTCTGTGGCTGTGTCATGATTTACAGTGTTGCTTCCCGTTTCACTGTTTACACCATGGCTTTAATTGGACGAAGATTTGTGAGCCTCACGTAATGAAGTGCACAATGAGCTGAAGGAGAGGCGCGGTTGATTTGAATCACAGAAGGCCAACTCCATAGAGACCGGCTTTGTTCGGCTCTAAACAGGAAGACATTTTCTGTCATCAGAGAGCCGGCGAGATCCTCACTCTATCAATACATGACATTATACCATCTGAAGAGGCTCTAAGAAGTCTATTATATATGACAAGTACTTTTGTCTTCCTTGTAGGGCAGGTGTTCATGCTCCTCAAGTAAAAAAAGGAACATAATGTATAATTTAGCGTGCAAATACATTCAAGGTTCAAGGCTTTTATTGGTCATACGTAAGCTACAGTGTAGTTATGACTACAAAAAATCTTAGGTCACAGGCTCCTCCAAAAGTACAACACAATAAAACAGATTATCTTTTTATTACTATTATCGTATCAAGTCAGATAAAGACTGTCCAATCCTGTTTGATCTACACGGAACATCAATACAATTGGTCAATTATCTTACTCTCGTTTAGTCTCTAACTCAAACTAAATGCTGTAGTCTTGGCTTGATGGTTACAAAAGTGATCTTACTACACCTATTTGAGCTTTTAAACCATAGCTTCGTCTGTCTTTTAGAATAGATTTTATAAATACTTTCAAGGCCCGTCCCTTATCTCCGAGCTGCTGTTCCTCATGGCCGAAGGCGACGTCTGACGATCCTAGAACAAAACCCTGTTGCTTGTTTTAAAATCACTCCTGAAATCTAAAGGTGACCGCCGCTTTGTTGTTAGAGCGTCCAGACTCTGGAGGTCCCTGCCTGAGAATATGGTGCCCCATTTCAAATCACTCCTGAAAAACACACTTGTAAAAAGCTGCTTTTGATTTTCTTTAGTTTTTTAAATGTTACGTTTGTTTAATTGTTGTTTTCTGTAACTCCTGCTTTGCTATGTGTTACTTTTACCATTATCTCTCTCATTGCTTTGCTCTCTTTAAGCGTGTTCATCCCTCTGAATTTGAAACGCGCTGTATACACAAAAGACTACTTCAGTTAAGCGAGCATCTTCAAACAGGTCGGCGCTGTTTAGTCCTGACTAAGCTGATTGTGAACCCCCAGGTTTGTGATTGGTCGAGAGAAGCCGGGGGAGCAGAGCGAGGTGGCGCAGCTCATCCAGCAGACCCTGGAGCAGGAGCGCTGGCAGAGGGAGGTGATGGAGCAGCGCTACAACCAGTACATGGACGACCAGGAGGTATGTCTTTAGAAGTATTCTTTAACCACTGTCTGTGTGAAGGTGCACTGATTTACTAAACAAAATGTCCTTCCTCATCTCCACCTTTTATGAACAAGAACACACACTCACTACTATGACCATTAGAATGAAGTGAGGGATGCAGGCTAGTCAATGAAAATGTAAAACTCTTTTACAGCTCAGTTGAGCCATGTTAAATAATAGGATGAATCCCAGTTAAAAGAAAAGATATCTGAATGCATTTATCAACGTTTGAAGTCATCAAGTATCAACAAAATCATCTCTAAATAGCTTTAAAGTAGTATTTTGGCTGTACAATATACATTTAGTAGAGCTCTGAATGTCTGTCGTCATATTAATTACCCTAAAACAAAATGAAAAAAAACGAGAGTCAGCATTCTTTTCACAGCAGTTAAAATGTTGTTTATTGAAGACTAAACGCCAACACATATGGATAAAACATATATTATACAATATTTCTTGAGGTAAAAACGTGAATTTTTAAAAGCATTACATTCCTTTTTGACTTTACAACTAAAATTCTATAAATAGTATGATATTAATAATAATGACTGCAAACCAACCTTAACCTACCTTAATCTGCAACTGTTAAGGGAAACCGGTTTTAAACTAAATGAATAGAAATGCAAATTAAAAATAAAAGCAGCTCTGCTACTGAATGTCAATGTAATGAATGAAGCCTCAGAGCCATGAAACTATTCGGTGCAGCCCTTCATAATTCATACATTCTTTTCAACCTCCGACACAAATACTTCCTCAAAAATGAAAAAGAAGTTGCAATCATTCATGGCTCTGTAAGCCCTCGGTTCCCCTTTTAGGATTATGCATGTATCCCATGAACAGCAGTGACCCTCTCTGTGTGGCTGGGCTCTACTTGCCTCTGGCCAGAAGCCTCACTATTGTGTCCAGAGCATCAGTCCCATCAGACGATAAGCTTTGCTCCGAAATGAGGGCAAATCGGGATCTGAAAATCTGTGCCCCCGGATGTCCTTTGCTTTGTTAATCTCATGAGCCTCCTCTGATTTTGTTTTACATAAACTATAAGCTCATGGAGTTTTTACAGCTCATACGCGACTGTACCTTCATAAGAACAGAGAGGAAGTTCCCCGTTCATGCCTCTGTGCTGGTGGTACTTCTTGAAAAGCTTTGTGTTGTGTAACTGAAAGGGAAGTCTGATCTTTGGAGAGGTGCACCACCTAGTGGCTGTGTGGTGTCATAGAGGTGGGAGAAGTACTCAGATCTTGTACTTGTAAAGTAGAAGTAGCAGAGTGTGGGAATACTCTGTTACAAGTAAAAGTCCTGCACTCAAAACGTTACTCAAGTAAAAGTACAAAAGTATCTGCATCAAAATATACTTAAAATACCAAAAGTAAAAGTACTCGTTCCGCAGTTCGGTCCATTTCAGAATAATATATTATGATATGTTTTATAATTATTGATGCATTAAAGCACACATGTCAAATCCGGCCCGTGGTAGATTTAATTTCGGCCTGCAGGATAATTTCTAATTACTATTATCTCTGGCCCGCCGGTATATTGCACGCACACCTTCCTCAGCTCACAGCCAGAGCCCAAACATTGATGAACTTGCACCCAAGATGAGATGCCAAGTATCTGGCTTGAGCTAGCATCACAGAGTAGCAACCTGAGTTTCAATGGATAGAGTACAACTGAGTTTCAATGGATCAATGGATGTTTCCTTCAACACTTTTTTTCTTGCGACAACAGGGCATGTTTGTTTTTTTCTTTGAGGGAAATTGTTTTTTTGAAGCTGTTGTTGGCCTGTGGAAAAATGTACTCATAAGAAATGACTGGAAAAGCTGCAGATAGAGCCATAAGAAATGAATGCAACTGATTATTTAATGTTTAATGTTGTTTTTATAGGCAATTATTTAAGCTAAGTTAGTTCCAGGTTTAATATGTGCAATAAATTCATTTCAATAAGTTTTGCAATAAACATTGAACCAGTCCGGCCCTCGACTTGTACCCATTTTTTAATTTTGTCCCACTGTGTATTTGAGTTTGACACCCCTGTATTAAAGTGTTCTCAAAGCTGGTAAAGGTGCAGCTCGTTTGAATGACTATACTGCAGGGTAGCTTGTGAATTTACTCCAGGTGGAACTAAAGTCTGATTTAACACTTGATTATATTTCACATCATTCATCCAGATCTGTAAAGTAACTAAAGTTACTAAATAAATGTAGTAAAAGTACACCATGCACCTCTGAATAGTAGAAGTAAAAAACGGCATACAATGGAAATACTCAAGTAAAGTACAAGTACCTACACATTGTACTTAAGTACCTGAGTAAATGTATTTAGGTACTTCCCCCCTCTGGTCATAGAACAGACACATGCTTTTAAAGACACCATAACATTACAATTGTTCACTCTGTTTTACTGTTTTCAGTGACATTTTATTAAATGTTTTGACAATGAATCTAAACACATGTCAGAAATACCTAAATTCCAATCATTTAAACTCCTGGAAATGAGTGCCCCATTGGTAAAACTATTACAAACATGTTAAAGATGACATATCCTGCTTGTTTTCAGGTTCATATTTGTATTGTGTGCCTCTACTCTACTCTGACATGTTTACATGCTTTAATGTTCAAAAAGGTCTTTCTTTATACTGCCTGTGCCCTAAACCTGCTGTAATTATTTCTGTGTGTGAATGGGATGCTAACTTGAACGTGTCCCTGCAGGGCGGAGAATACGGCACAGACGAGGAAGAGGACGAGGATGAGGAGGTGAGCCCGCCGTATCCCAGCGCCATCGAGGTGTTCGACCTGGCAGAGAACGAGGACATGTCGCCCCTGGAGACGGACCCTGAGAAACTAGCACATAAATACAAAGAGGTGAGAAAGGAGCTTCCTTAATTGGAGCATTTTCTGTGTAATCACCGTTTATTTCTTGATATGTGTCTAATGCTAACACGTGTATTTCAATCTGTCTTTGCTGTAAAGCTCCAAATAAAGCATGCGGTGACCCAGGCCGAGATCCAGCAGCTGAAAAGAAAGGTAACTTCTTAAATGATGTTTTAAAGATGAAGAAGAAGCAATTCTGGATTCAGTCAAAAGAATAGAATAGATGCCTTTATTGTCATTATATATAGAAATACTATGAAATTACAAATGCCCGTTCCAGCAGTGCTTAAAATACACACACAATAATACACACAAACAACTATTTTAATCATAAAAAAAAGCAATAAAAGACAAAAACAAGAATAAAGACAGTTAAACGGTTGCTAACTTCAGGATCTACTCCATGATAAATAAAAAAAGCTATGTGAGAAATGATGGAAAGAAAGCAGAGTAAAGTGTGATTAAGATTAAAGAGTTGTATGTTTGATAAAGTTATTATCAACTGATTGCTATGATGCAAATGCTAAGCTAATATAAAGGTAAGATGAAGATGTCTGCATGCTAAACCTGAAAGAAAACCCACTTAAAAAACAATTTTTTTTCTCAATTCTCTTCAATAAAAGGAGGTCAAAACAATACATGTTATATAAATACAGTTTGTAGGCCTAAACTAGCTGCCTTTAATGTGGAAGTCATTTTCCAATTAAAAAGTGAATTGTACATAAAACATGTGAAACTGATATTTCTAAATATAATAGCACTTTCTACAACTTTTAAAGATTTTGTGTGTAAGATAACTTGTCTAGTTTATCTTTGTAGGCAAATGACATCTTTTAAAATATATTTTTAGGAAGTTGAGATTCAATCCAGAATCAACTTTTTCCCCACACCTACAAAGAAGCATTTCTTGTTATAAGGATCTTTAATAAAAAGGATGTTGTAATTGAAATGGATCCTTCACCTGTGCTCCCAGCTGCACCACGCGGAGCAGGACAAGCAGCGCTGGCGGATGGACAAGGCCCAGCTGGAGCAGACGCTGCAGGAGAACAAGGAGCGCATGGACAAGCTGGAGGGATACTGGATGGAGGCGCAGAGCCTGTGCCAGGCGGTGGACGAGCACCTGAAGGAGACGCAGGCGCAGTATCAGGCTCTGGAGCGCAAGTACAGCAAAGCCAAGCGTCTGATCAAGGAGTATCAGCAGAAGTAAGACACAAGAGTCCATATGTATACAACCAGCTGAGAGAGATGTTACATTAGAGTCTGATGCTATGGCTTCCTCTAACAGGGAGATCGAGTACCTGAAGAAGGAGACGCAGCGCTGTGCACAGGATGGAGCCGAGGCCTCTCTACTGAAGGAGGAGTCCGGACAGCTTCAGGAGCAGGTACAGCTCAGGAGAAACCCAGAAACTGTTGGAAAAAACTACACTTCAAATGTTCAGTGATGACATGTTGGTATTGTTCGCCCTATGTAGGGTTAGTGCTAGAGAAAGCTTTGAAACACTTTGTCTCACATTATGATAATATATTCATATATGATTGATATAATATATTTCCATTGATTTATGTATAGCACTTTTATCCATTAAGATAATAAGATAAATATATACAAATAGACAAATGAGACAAATAAAAAGTCTTAAAAGGTTTACAACGTTGAGCAAACGGAGTCAAATATTAAAAATGTAATTATTCATTCAAATTAAAGTTGAGAATGCCTTTTTGTTTAGAGGTTTTAAGATGTGACAGCAGATACGTCAGCCCAAAAACTGTAAAAAACATTTATAAAAATGGCTGTAATTTGTATAAACTGTTAAGAGTAATAATATCTTAATAAAAATATAAAAGCATGTATAACAGGCACATTTATACTATATACAATGAATTATTTACACATATTTCTTGTAGATTATTTTATAAAGCAGCAGTTTGCAGTGTTTTTGGCACATGAGTTTTTTGATGGTTCTCTCCATTCTTAGTTGGTTTGTTATTGCATTAACTACAAATAAGACCATTTTGTATTATGTTGTACATGTAGGAGCTTTTCATAATGCTCACATGATGTAACACACGTAATAAACGTACTGCATGTTCCCCTGTCCTCTGCAGGTGGCTGACCTGGAGTGCCGGGTGGAGGAGCTGAAATCTGAACCTTTATAAAAGCCTTTCGTCCGTTACCTCTCAGAAAGCAGCACTCCACCAGAGGAAGGAGAGAGAGAGAGAGAGAGAGAGAGAGTTATTGTTCTCTCAATGACCTGCAGGGTATTTTCTCGTCACCACCTCGAGCTTGGTTTCCGGTCGCATACTGTATATATGTGTCCTCAGACTTCTGCCACTTAACCCTTTTTAACCATGTTTTTCTGTTTTATGGGAACTGAAGAACAGCTTTATCATCACAAATACAGACTCTGTTGAGCTCTAGGTGTACTGTTCCCTTTTCATTTCCGCAGTTCAGTATTTAATCCATAATTTGTGGTTGTGTGACAGACCAAGCTGTTGCTTTTGATTGCCAAAAAACAAAATCCCTTCCTTTCTTTCGCCTAGTTTTGTGACCTTTTTTTGTACAGATGTGATACTGTGTGGTTTTAACAATCAGTTTGGTTTGTAAAAAATTCAAATATGTGTATAACATTTTAACATAATATAAACTAATGAGATTTGAGGGTTGTTGTATATTTTACATGATGATGTATAAATTGGAGATTGCACTGAAGGACACTTCAACAAGGTGCTTCACTGGAGCGGAGGGACAACGCGGGAACAATGTTTTGAGGTGTCTTTGGAATTGTTCAAACTGTAAACCCAACCTTCGTAGGGGTCTTGTCGTCACTTAACCTTGAGAACCACCTGCTGCCTACCTTTCAGAAGTGTTTGTGTATTTTTTACACATTAAGACTCAGTAATGAGCGTTCAATCCTCCGGTTTCAACCCCTTGCTTCTTTCAGAAAAAAAGGACCACAGAAACAAGCCTCCACAACTGCTGTGCCACAAAATGGATCTCTTTGTCCCTTAAAAATGGATGTTGTCAAGGAACTTGTGTAACTGGTATTAGTTAGGACTACTGATATAAGAAACTATACTGGACTGGGATGTTAAAGAAGTCGTTACCAGCAGCAAAGTTAGATTTAAATAGCTTGTGTCTCGAACCAGCAGCTGCACTTGACACCGCTGTGTGTAGCACATGGAAAACACTGCCAGGTTAATCCCTGTTTTCAATTTACGCACAGTTTAAAATTGAGTCTACTTGTGTTGACTGTCATACCAGTATGTTTGTATAGTTCAGGTAAGACTGAAGTATTTTAATTTTACTTAATATTTATAATATAATCAAGTGGGAAATACGAGCTAACAAGGACAGAAACTGACAAAGGCAATGTTCAATGGACAGTCAAACTGTGCCATTAAAAACACGTAGATCTGGATGACTACAGAAACAAATTTAAAGATTATTGAATTGAAAAAAAAACAGGCATGTTATGAGGAGTTTCATAATATTAAGGCTTGTACAGTGCACATGCTTTGCATTGTATGTTTTGTGGAATAAATGGTCAAAAGTGATGAGCAAGTTTGTGTTTTTTATTTTTAAAGCAAACTGACATTGAGAGACAAGCATTTACGTCGAACTGGTGAGCTTCTTAATTTATTTTTTATTAATTGTATTGAATGCCTTGTTCGTGTTCATTTGTTTTCTGCTTTCAAATAACAAACAAATATTTGTTCACATAAATAAATTTTTGGTTATGTAATGCTTTAAACAAACTTAATTTAAAATAAAGTTACCTAGAAAAAATCTATCAAGTGCAATTCAGTTTGAAATGGCAACAATTAAAGGAATATTATGGATTCTTTGGAAGTGGGGTAGTGAGAGGTACTTCTTAATAGATTAGCTAGAAAGATGTTTTAAGGTGGGTCTTAATAGGTGGCTAAAATATATTATGATCGCCACACCCACAGCTTAGCTTCCATGCTTACTGCAATATACTGTAATACTCTGATTAAGTATACAGTAGGTACTTCTTACAACCCAACTTCAAAAGTAGCCAAACTATCCCTTAAAGCTCCTCTACACCCTCAAAATGTGACTACAAGTGCATCTTCTGATGGTGTCTCCTGAGGTGATAGTTCCTGGAGAAGCTCTTCCCGCACTGGGTGCATTTGAACATCCTCTGTCCCAGGTGAAGCAACTGGTGAGCTTTGAGACTCTGCGGGCGGCTGAAGCTTTTGCAACACTCGGAGCAGCTGTGGGGCCGGACCCCCGTGTGCTTCCGCTCGTGGCGCTTCAGGTCTCCGGACTGCCGGAAGCCCTCCCCACAGTGTGTGCACAGGTATGGTCTCTCCCCTGTGTGAATCCTGACGTGCACATTGAGCTGTCCCGTGTAGGAGAAGCTCTTGCTGCAGTGAGGGCAGCTGAACGGCTTCTCGCCCGTGTGGACGCGCTGATGTTGCTTCAGACCATAGTGGTTCGTGAAGCCCTTCCCGCAGTCTGTGCACAAGTACAGCACCTTCACCTGCTGGAAGCATGCGTGCGCTTTTAAAGCTTTGGCACTGGTACAGCTCTTCCCACAACCGGGGCATACATATTCCTTTTCTCCCTTCTCTTCCACTTCCTCTTCCTCCAACTGAAATGCAAGGTTGTCGGAATCACAATGGGCCAGATACTCCACTGGGTGGTGCCTCTTGACGTGTTTGATAAGGTAGCTCTTCATGGTGAAGGAGAACTGACAGTATGTGCACGGGAAAGGCTCTGACGTGCAGTGATACTTCATGCAAGTGTTGCTCTTGCGATGCAGTTTCAGGTTACTAGATGTAGTAAAGGATTTGCCGCAACGGTCACAACTGTACGACTTTGTATTTGAATGCACCGTCTGCTCGTGTCTTTTCAGAAGGCCTGTCGTTTTGAATGTTGCCTCACACTGACCACATTTGAGCTCCTTTAAAGCACACTTGTGTGCCTTAAGATCATCCGGGTTCTGGTATGTGCATTTACAGCGATGGCAGCTGAACCATTTGTATTTTTCTAACTCTCCATTTGTGACCTTAGTGGCCTCGGATTCGTTGGACGTCTTCTCCGTCTGCACAGCGCTGGTCAACGACTTCTTTAAGATGGCTGCCCTTCGTTTTGGAGCTATGAGTTTGGTTATGGCGGAAATGTTGGATCTGGCTCCAAGTCGCTGAGGTCTCTGACGCTTTTGGACTGATTCTACGATTTCAGCTACTGACGGTGGAAGAGTGAAGTCTGGATCATGGCTCTGATCTTCTTCTTGATTTTCCATTGATGCTTCCTCTGAGTGATGCTCAGTTGTGTGCAGCTGAAGGGTGTCCACAGAGGAAGAAGTCGGTGAGCACTCAGTACAGCTAAGGGGCACGGTAGAAGACTCATCCGGAGCCTCTTTTTGTTTTTCATCGCTCTTGTTTTCTTGCTTCTGATGACCCCGCAGGTGCCTGGTGAGGTCGTTGTACTGTCCGAAGCACTTCTGACACAACTTGCAGACGTACGGACGCAACTTTTCATGGCCAGCCATCTTATGCTTCTTTGGGGATTCTTCTTTATTTATGAAACTCTTACTGCAGTCTGAAGGATTTGACTGGAAAGTGTTCTCAGTTACATCCATAGCTTCTTGCACACTCTCACTTACATTCAAGTCTGTTGTCTCTTCAATTATAGATGGCTCTGCAGTTTTTAAAACTTCCAACATAACGTTTTCTTTCTTCTCCCTGCTGTTCTGATTTGGATCTTTTTTTTTGCCTTTTATCACCGCCCGCTTCCTGTGAACTAGCTGGTGTCTGGTTAAGCCAGAAGCTTGGCTGAAGCTCCGCCTGCACTGTGTGCAGCAGTACGGACGTTTGTTTGAGTGGACGCAAAGCTTGTGCCTCCTAAGGTGAGGTATTTGCTTGAAAATCTTCCCGCAATCGCCGCATGTCTTCGACTCAACAGTATCAACACAAAGCACCATCAGGGATGCTGCAGAGGGAATTGAGTCAGTATACGAAGAGGGATTTTCAGGCTCAGCTGCCTCAGCAGCCGGTAAGCAGCCCTCCTCAGGCTGAATGTGGTAGTACTCTGTATGTAGCTGAAGAAAGGACTCTGTAGTGAAGGGCAGCTGACAGTGGGAGCATGGGAAGATCTGAGATGTCGCAGAGGTGCTACTCTCTAAAATAAAGAACACAAGGGGAAAAAAACATATATTGACCAGAAGTATTTTTGATTTAGGGGTGAACTGTCCCAATAAAAAATATGGCATTGTAAGATTTATCTTTAGGAAAGAAATACAATAATAATAAAAATAATCAAACAATACATTTTTCATACGTATTATATTAGGTACCTGTGGCATTCAGCTTCATGACCCAGACCTGAGTCCAAGCTTCACTGAAACGGTCGAGAAATTTGCTGCTGGGCCACACCATGAGCTCCTCTCCAGGGTGTATGGTGCGACAGCAGTGATAAAGGATGCTGCCTTTGTACTGGACCGCCAGCAAATTAGTCTCTTCTTTATTTCGAGCAAAATTGACGTACCTGTGTAGGACAAAAGAGATGAATATAAACATGGACAGATTTTTAGACAGGTGAAAATGTATGTATCAGAAACTTACTAGCAAAACATACTTAAATCTATGACTAAGTTGTTTGTGGTTGTGATGCATTGTGTATAATCTGTAGGCATAATTTTCTGACAAAGAAGAATGCATGGAATAAAAACAAATAGATGACAATTTGTGGAATAATCTTTTAAATGAATTCTGACATTGAAAGGGAAACAGTTAAAATAGCAGGATTCACTACTTTACCTCATCCAGTTTGAGTGTGTATCTCTGGCAGCATCAATGTACTCATATTCATCTTTTTCTTTGTAAATCTGCAGAAAGTGTAAGTATGTTATAAGAAAAATGTATATAAAAAGAACTAAATAAAAAATTGTTTACAGAGTAGGATTATATCTATGCTCACCTCCCAGGAGAAGTCACTTGCCATGGCATTTTCTCTTGTTGTCACGTCCCCCTCATAGGGTCCAAAATGCATTCCCGGAGACACTGTTTGGCCGTGATTTGTGACCCCGACGCCTGCACCGGGAATACTAGATCTGCCAATGGTCAGGCCATAGGGCAGAGAGAGGAGGGCCCTCTGGGGGAGACCAGTACTCGTAGGGAAGTCCAGAATAAAAGATGGGCCGCTTAGGGTGGTGGGGTCACTCTGTTCCTGGAAGAGAGGCAGACACTCCTCACAATCTGGAAAACAGAAGAAAACAGTTACTCAACTTTATGTTAAATGTACATAACCACTTAATGTTTAACACGTGTAAATATCAGAAAATGACTTAAATAGACTGAGTAGAATAATCGTTGAAGCTTCAGTTTTAAGTATATGTAAGTATATAATACGTACGTATAGATTAAGTAGAAACTTTTCATTCATCTCAAGGATGCAGTGAATATAAGCACAAGAGAAAAGGGTATTTTCTTACAAAAGCCCCCATCAGCCTCTGGGTTATCTCCATTTCCCACAGTGTCCAGTAGCTTCTGGATAGGCGTTTCTGCTGGCTCTAAAACCGGTAACACTGGAACAAAAATGGCATTCATTAAAAAACGTCTTATATATTAAAACAAGTGTTTACAAAGTTCAACATCGAACTTATTATACCTGCAGGTGTGTTGCTTTCAGGGGGTAGGCACTCCTCTGTTATAACTACCTCCTCGGTTGTCTCTACCCACTCCACAGCGGTGCTCCTGCCCGACATGAATGCAGAGTCTGTGGAGAGTTGATATACTATTCATTGTTGCTCACACAAATACATATTTACACAAAGTACATAGGCTACATAACTCGCACGCTAACTTACAGCAACAGATGGACAGCCCACGTTAGCACGCTAGCCTGGTTTGCTAAATATCGTCCTGGAAACAATTTAGCTGTCTCAAAAACATTTCATACAGACGATAAAGTAGTCCTGGTTTTATTAAGTGGAGAGAATGCTAACAACTTATGGCTAATAAGAAAGCATTAGCATAGCTATGCAATAATTAGTAGCTGCTGTGTGGCTATCCGAGATATATCAACAAGGTGAAGACTAGCATTAGCGATATAATACGTTATAGAGCACTTTGCAAAAATAATCCGTACAAACCTTTGTACCTACTCCAATCACAACGGATGTATTCCTCCGAATGTTTTTTTGACTAGCTGCTGTTCAAACTGCTGTACAGCTGTTAGCTAATGTTACCGCTTGGGACTAGTAACCAGAACCATAGCTATGCGAGGTCGATGCTTCCCCGGAAGTAAATCAATTACACTTTCAACATAAAAGTCAATTTTTACGTTATGTTTATTTTCCAAAGAAAGGTGTCAACATTAATACAACGTAGTTGCAGCTTATTTCCTATCGCACGTACATTATGTTCTTATGAATCAATTTTCGTAACACATTTCTCAAATCCGTTAGTCATACATTTCTGTGGAAAATATCTAGTTCGTGGGGGCATTGAACTGCATCTGCGCCGCTAGTGTAGTGGTATCATGCAAGATTCCCATTCTTGCGACCCGGGTTCGATTCCCGGGCGGCGCACGTCTTTTCTTGCTAAGAAAACAATTCCTTACCATTGACATAGTTTGTAGGTATGGCTACATAAATATGTAATGATTGATAAAGGCAGGGTTACAGAAACAAAATTTTCTTAGGCGCTATCATAATCACAGGGTCACATTAAGCGCTTTGAGCACCAGGAAAAGCGCTATATAAATCTAATGTATTATTATTAATATTATAAAGAACTTGGTCATATCTACTGCTGCAAACCATCTCAGATATCACGTAATAGTAACATTACAAATATTTAAAAATATAGCAGTAGGCTATGTACATTGAATATGGTGGAAATCGTAGACATATAATTGGAATTGATGCATTTAATATTATAGGCTATGTTACATTGCTACACTAGGGCCTATATCATATTATGTTATACTACATGCTATTATGACATTGCACCTTACACTCTATCGGATCCCATACAGTACATACAGTGCCATATTATGATATTAAATAATAGTTTTATTAAAATATGCTTTATAATGACTTACTGTATTATTTAGTTATATTACTATATGAACATAGCCAAACACTTAGTGTCAGTTTCTATATATTACTAGTCTGGTGTAGTACGCTGTTTATTGTCTTCACCTTGTGACTGCTGCTATTAATAACACCATTGTCACTCTTTAACTCGCCACTTTGTCTTTAATATCTCTTGTATAGTTTATGTTTTACTATAGTATTAGGAGTTTTATAAACCTCTTATAATCACTATTATTCACAGTTTTTACTTTGCCTATTTATGTGTAGGCTACTTATTGCATTTTGAGCATCCATTCCCTGCTGGCGCGTGGAACTTGTTGCCGGGGCAACCTCTTGAATGATGTTTATAGATGGAAAAAAAACAACTGTTGCGTGGCAACTATATGTAGCCAACGGAGAGCACCACAAACTATTATAGCGTCGAAATGAAGTCCGCTAAATGTGGTATAAGTGTCACCGCATGCGATCGGGACAGCGAAAAGGCGGAGGCATGTCTCTCCATGTGCGGGATGTGTCCATCTTGCGCTTTTGCCCCCATGCCCCCTGCATCCAACCGGTGTTTGTGGACGGCGTCGGATGAATTCAAGAAGAGGTTCGTGGTGGAGCTGCTGTTACGATGCAGAAACGTCCAAGTGTTGGAAAGCATCCAGAGTGTGCTGGGTGTCACATCGTGGACTTTACTCACCTACGCCCGGTCCAGGAGCCCGACCTCCCCCGACGACTTCCCCTGCCGCGGGGCGGGCCGGGCGCTGGAGGGGAGACCTCTTGGGGTGAACCTGCATGAGATCTGGGACTGGTTCACCAGCAGCCCGGACTGGATCAAATCCCGCTACCTTTGCCGGCTTTTCTCACTCTGTGACTCGGAATTATTGCGCATGTTGTCTAATTTAACCAGCGTGCTTCTGGTCAGACAACAACGAGGGTTTCTGCGGCTTGATGGTAAAAAAAGACACATGTTTTATTGACTTATTATTGCAACTCCTGAGCAGCAATGTCCCATGTCTAAAGGCCAGTGCAATCCATACATGTGCAAAGTTCACAGTTCCAGAGTTTTTTTTTGTTTAGTTTTGTATTGTTATATGCACAAAAAATTACAGTAAAGAAGTCTTTTGCATTGGAAATATTGTATCGCAGGCCTCCCTCCAAAGTGTCTTTAATATGTAAAAAAAAAAGAAAAGGAAAATCACGCAAGTAAAGCATGCTCTAAAAATAGTTAAAAACAAATGAAATGTAAAAGTAATGTACATTTGGTCTGGACAGTACTTTGAATTATTAAACTCAATGTTGATAGGAAAGTTGTTAAAAGTAATTTTACATAAATCAAACAATGAAGTGTCATTAAGCAATTTCGTTGTTTCATTAGGCTATTAATACATTCATGTATAATCATATTGGCCTAATATAATTGCTCCAAAATACTTTGTGTTTATTTGAATGAAATACTTCTTACCATTTGATAATCTTGTGCTCCTTCTCAGTGAGGAATTGTAGTAGAGGTCAGCATGATTCTGAAAGTGATGTAGACTCGGAGGACCCCGCTCTCATGGTGGTGCCCGGATCAGCAAAGTCTGCGTCTGGAGTCAGCCGCTATCGAGATTTCATCAGGGGCCTACCTGTTGACCTGTCCAAGAGGATATTAGGCAAGTCAACACATGAGTAACACAAAGGAAAGGAAATGCACTACTTTGGTTACCATCAACTTATGCAGTGTTGACCTGCTGCTAACAGCTTCATATTTCAATTAGTTTAAATCTTTTCTGGTATGTTGTTTTTATACAATATAATATTATACATGTTGTAACATCTGGTTGATTTAGTGCATTTCTAAACGCTTCAGGATACTACAGTGAAACAGTAGTGAAGAGGAATTTTTACTTGACAAAATGACATTATTCATCAGAGACAAAACTAAACAACAAAATAGCACAAAACACAAGAGCAGGCATCAAGAGTAGTAAAATAAAAATGAAATTAAGATAACAACATAAAACCAGAAAACAAATCAGAATAAAAAGATATGTACTAACAAAAGCAATCTTCCAAATGTTGAAGGTGAAAGGATATGACACTATAACCTAGTCCTTAAAGCTGGTAGAAAGCTGGTAAGGAAGATAATGATTTCAGTGTCATATATTAGAGTATTCGAGCTCGTAGATATCAGCAAAGTGAGTCTCAAAGTACTATGGGGATGCAACTAAGTTGCTAAAGAATGCTCTTGTTAAATGCACCTTACTCAAGTGGGTAGCCCTTGTATACAAAAACAACAAATCCCTGCCAAGCAACCACTTGGCTGTCTGCTCCCTGTGGCCTCTGTCTGCAGGGGAAACAAAGGAACAATATGACATACAAAGTAATGAAAATTAACTTAACATTTGATATTTTTAATACTTTACTTCAATATTAAACATACATGCAGACATTTTACTGTACACATTTTTCTTTCACCAGGTCTGTTGGATGAGATCTCTCTGAGACGCTGCCTGAAGGTTTGCCCATCCTGGCAGCACCTCACAAAGGAAACCATCGAGGAAATCAAGTTCAGAAGACGTTTCCAGGATCAAATTGAGGCAATGATGAAGGTGGAGCATGTGTATGTTTACGTTTAAATATTTAATTGTGCATACAGGATTTGTTTTTCAAAAGTTTTCGCTGATAAAGATGGAAGCAAAACTTTTAAAAGTGTATCATGTACATTTTTTATTTAAACTCACAATGAGGGTTATGTTTTCTCTTTGTTGTTCTAGAAGAGTAAAGGTATGAATAAAGCCAGTTCCACTTACGCCAACATCGTTGAAGTTCCTGTACCAATCAAAACGGATGAGAAAGTGGTTATTCATGCCAGTGTCCAAAAGGTAAATACATTTTTAACACACATCTAATTTGTTGGTACCAGAAATTGATTGTGAATATGAGGATAAACGTTTTATTCATTTAACAGGTCAAGCCATTTGAAGCTGCTTATGCCAAAATCAAAGCCAAGATGGTGCCAATGGAGGAGCGAAATGTTTACTGTGGTGCATATTTCACCAAGGTGCTGCTGGACAAGTAAGTGTGTTAAGTTATTTTGACTAAAACATTCTCATTGGAATGAAACATGACTTGGTTGTGCTTGGGTTCAGAGAGGACCCTCATCGGGTGGTGGACTACAGAGGAGGATTGTTTATGGCGACGGGCTCCAAGGACCGCTTGGTGCATCTGCTTCATGTGGGGTCAGAAACAAAGATGGTGTCGGTGATGAAGGGCCATGTGGGCAGCGTCCGGACGGTGCTGCTGTGTGAGGAAAGAGAGCTGCTGATCACTGCCAGCTGCGACGCCAGCATCAGGTGAGGAGGAGGAGGAGGAGGAGGAAGCTGGATGATACTACAATCTGCCCTGTGAGTGACAGAGATGTGGTTATTTGTAGGTGTTGGTGTTTGAAGACAGACAGGTGTGTGATGATGCTGTACGGTCACACTGGCACTGTTAACTGCCTGGGTGTCCATGCTGATCGCCTTGTCTCAGGAGGTAAAGACTGTTTAGTTAAAGGTAAGCAGCCTTTAAAGGACGCATATCATCGGTCATATAGGATTCATCTTCAATAAATCATAGCTTAAAAGGAAAAGCTTGCCATATGGTTATTCCATCACATCTTCTATCCAATACCTCATTTTAAGTTATCTGGATAATGTACGCATGCAGAAACAAACCCTACTGTTTAAAAGTCCATTATTCTTAGCTGTATTCGTTTTTTTTCCAAAATGTTTTTGTATAGTTATTAGTAGGATTCACAGACATATTTTTATAATTACAAGAACATACTGTATGTTATAATATTTTAAAACTCAGATTTTCACTTTTTAATCACTCCCCTGCTGCTCCCCATGGTTTCTCTTACATATTTTCCCAAATAGACGAGGGCTTTTCTTTGGGAGTTTTTCCTTGTCCGCTGTGAGTACACATTCTAAAGCCCCCATTAGACAAATGTGTGATATTAGGCTGTATAAATTAAATGTCATTGATATGTGTAAGTGAGCTAAACTGAACTCCCACACTGCCAGTGTGGAGTCTACACACAGGGAAGATTTTTGAGGATTTTCATTTCAAGCACACAAGCCCTGTTCAGTGTGTGAGGATCAACATGAGGACGGTGTTCAGCAGCTGTGATCGGGGCTTTGTCAAAATATGGGACATGGAGAACGCATTGCTGCTCAGGGTGAGACTTATAAGTGGAGACAAATATTTAACCTCTGTCAAACTGTATTTCAGCAACAATTGGTAATACATATTTGCCTTTTGTTCTTTTTTTATTTAGGTGATTGATGCCCACAGGAGCTCAGTGAGGTGCCTGTTCTTCGACGAATGGCATTTTGTATCTGGAGACACCAGTGGGCAGGTCATGGCCTGGAGTCTAAACTGTGGCGTTAAAGAGTGTCTGATGACCTTCCCCCACCCAAAGTAAGCAAGAGACCCACCCAGGAAGTTGTTTTAACATTTTTAAATTATATAGGAATACACTCTCTTTGGTATATTTTGCCTTTTTGATTGCTGTTTTAATTTGAGTATCCTCAGGTCTGAATTATTTGGTAAAAGTAATTGCAATTATTTTGACTTGTAGCCCTATTGCTGGATGATTCACAATATAAAAAGGGGAATGGTCATTATTGCATTATATTTGAAATTGGTATTGATAAATATATTAAAACGATCATGGTGTGAGATTTTGCTAGGATCCTAAACCAAAGATTTGTTTCTCTGATGAGTATGTTTTAGAGGCCGGGAATTCTCAAATCTTAATTCAGAAATGCATTTGACAAAGGTTTTGCCTTAACAAATACTGCACCTCCTGCAAATTCTAATTCATTGTCCTACTATCAAAGACAGTTATATTCTAATAAACCTAACTGTTGATTTATCTGCAGGGAGGTCAAATCTATGACTCTTGTTTACCTGCGTGTTATCACTGGCTGTGTGGATGGGAAGATTCGTATATTTAATTTCCTCACCGGAGATTGTCTGAGAGAGATCACGGCAGAGGCTGAAACAGTCCGAATACTGTCGCTGCACTTCCATGACAACCGGTGAGTCAGATGTTTATTTTTACAAGTGTGTTTCTCTGGTGTTCAGTTACATTTGTCTCATCATTTCTTTCTGCACCCTGCTTCAGAATAATAGTGAATGCGACGTCAGGTGTGAAGCTCTACCAGTTTGCCAAAGTCTTTTGGGAATACAGCGAGTCAGCTGAGGGAGGCCTGGGCGATGCTGGGACTCAGAACGGTTTGGTTTCTGAAAACACAGCAGTCTCACTGAGAAAACTTCGCGTCACCTCTGCCGGGTCGCGTCTAAACTGGGTTGGAATAACGATAGACGCTGCCGGGTCAGATCACACAGCACAGAAGAACAGGAAGAAGTCAGAGGGAGCGGAGCTGCTTTACCACACCCGCTTTCTGCCTTCCACCACTAAAGCACAAGGTAAGCACACTCAAGGCTGGCTGTGTATAAGGGGCATCGTAGGCAAAATAAATACAAAAAGCATGAAAAGCTAGGCGAGGTCGTAATAGCCTACTGAGAGAAAAAAGTAGTACATTTCTGATAAAAGATTAAAGTAAAAAAATCTAAGTGAGAATATAATAAAGAGGGAAACTCAAAAAGAGTTAAAATGCTTGATATTTTGTTTGTATGAGATGTCCTGTATAACAGGGTTTTGTCGAAATCAGTCCAATTTTAAAGTGATGCCAGAAAACAACACAAAATTATAAAATACAAACCGGTATGATTACTCCAAAAATTAGAAAATCGTGTCAAATAGACTCAGTACGGCATAGAAAGCTTTTTTTTTTACATCCGCGGTGCCATTTTGTATACAGATGTCATGTTCTTGTGAGAATTGATACATCTTATACAAAAACTTTTCCTCTAAAGCCAGAGAACGCTGTGTGACTGCCCCGTCCGTGATGCTGAGTGAGAAGGCAACAAGTGACCGGATCAAGAGGAGGGGGCTTCATCATCCTCTGAGCCGAGACTCCATCCTCCTAAAGGTCAATGCCATCCATAAGGCGCAGTGCAGGGATGAAGTCGGCATCAACATGGAGTGCAACGCCCGGCTGCGAGACTCTTGGGGCCCCGACACGTCTCAGGACTCTCAGCTCTGGGACAGCCTTCATACTCAGGATGTTCCTCTCAGGAGGGCTAAAACCTGCGTTCCAACTTTAAAGAGGGATGTCAGTCAAAATATGACGAACAAGACCCAAGGCAGAGCCATCTCCACCGCCCCCGACACCCCGAGGAGACGCCCTACCTATTTATTTCCTAAAAAAACACAGCCTCACAGTGCTGACACATTTAAGCGAGTAGGTGGATTCAAAGAGTGCACCCTCATGAGATCGCTGCCTAATCCAGATCGCTCCATGAAAACTGGCACCAGCTTGCCCAGGATCAGCCCTGTGAGTCCATTCAGAGAGCAGGGAGGGCTCCGGCTGCTCACAGTGAAAAAGGCTGGGAGATTTTAGGGCCAAAAAGGATCTGAACTGTGAGCAAAAAGTGTCCAATAGATGCTAACGTATTATTATTTTAATGATATGATGTGTCAGCAGAACTCTATCCCCACCGCACGCTGGGTGTTCTGGACATCTTTGTTTGTTTTCATATTTTGTAAATGTTATGTTTCCTTAAAGCTCCACTAGGGGTCAGTATTGCATCACCTCTGGCTGAAATAGGAAGCTTAACTATTATATCTTTTTTTACTTAAGTTTTATTTTTACTCTATTTAGATTCCATTCGTATGTAGTTTCATTATTTCCCAGCAGTAGGTTTGTATTTTTCTGAACTTTTTTTCATTGAAGAAAGAATGAATAAATGAATGTATGTTCTGTTTATATATTCAGTTAATGTGAATAAAGGCATGGAGTAACACAGATATTTCATATTCTTATGCAGTTCTTTACATATTTTATGTTGTTTGCATTTATAGTTTGATTGCAGTAGGATATTCACAATTTTTAACACTTGAGTATCTTTTTCCCCCACATTAATAGATCTTTTTTGTAATTAACTGCCGTTTAAGCTTGTTTTCTCAGACTCCAACTTTTATCATAATCTATGCTTCCCTCTTAACACCTGCAGTCTGTACCAGTGTTTAATTTAACATAAAGGTTATATATAACATATTTAGTTAGTTGATGGGTTATCCTGAAAAGCCTTCACCGATCAATCCACAATAAATCTTTGTGGATGTCTTGCTTCTGCCGTGCTTCAAAAAGACGAGTGAAGTCTTCAGAGTGAAGAGTTGGTCCCATCCAGAGAGACCTCTTCACCCTGCCACCTGCCCTTTAGCCCCGCTGCCTGGAGGGCATCATTAGGGGCGAGGAGGTTGGAGATCAGAGAGAAGGTCCTCCGCTTTGACGGCAGCAGCACAACAGCTGGGCATCCGTGAATAACAAAGGCTTATGAGCAGAACTGACTGGCTAAGACGTCCCACTTTGGAGAATCTCTTCTTTCAGGAGCTGCTAATTAATTTAGTCAGGAGAAAACCGGGGATAATGGTCTCCCCCATTTTTTTTACTCTTGTTGCAGTGTGACGTAGGCAGACAATGCACACCCCTCCTGGCACCCCGAGCTCGGCTTAGCCTCACCATGCAGCACAGCTCCCCCATTGTTTCATCAGGTATGGAGTCTCTTGTCCCAGACCGGCAAGCTGCGGGGGGGATAACGAGCGTAAAATCAAAGCAAAGTTAGAAAAGGGAAAGTCTTCATAGAGGAATGCTCTTAGACCTTCTGCTCCCTTGAGCAAGCCCAAGGGTTGCTGGGGAGCGGAGGGTGGCACAGGTTTATTTATGCACGAGGAGAAGCCTGAAAGAAAGGACAGTTAACCCTCTCTCCATGAAAGAGTGTTTTAAGGGTTGGAGGCGACCAAGCCAATGGCCTGGGTGACCTTTGCTCCACATTGATCTCCATATCCAAAGGCACATATTTGCATCATAGTTGATTTTTCAAAAATAATTTTTCAAATGTTTGTCATGCTGTGACAGCAGCAGGTTTGAACCCCTTAATTCGATTTTGACTGAAAGCCTCTTTCCAGGCTATGCAAGTCTGAGCCAGGCATGGCAAAGACTCTGATTAACCAAATCTTGATCTGTATTATTATTTTCTTCTGTATTTGCATGTCACTCAGACTGGCGGCTGACTTGCCCTGGAGCTGTCCAGATATCACACCGTTACCAGGTTTAACGAGAGTGATACCAGACACCAAAGCTCAATGAATATGCCAACCACACCATTCTCATGGGGAACGACTTGGGATAAGAACAGGGAATAAACCCCCCCCCATCATTATGGAAAATCTACACTTCACACTGTTTTTAAAATACAGCAATATTTCGCGCTGTATCCCAGAGACCACTGGAGAGCTGAAGCTTAAACACGGATCATAACGAACACAGCAGTGACATCAACACATGGGAGCGACGACAAGTTCCTTAATCTAAGGACTGTTTAAACGCCAGGCCACGCGGCCAGAAGTGTTTCCAAACCGTCCCCTGTTAGGATTCAGTAACAAGATCCATATGCCTTTCTGACCTCATTTGCAGATAGCGATCATAAGCGAAAGGGGATACAGCCAGAACGAAGGGAGGCAATTAACAAGAACACCATTACTGAGATACGGGACTGATTAACATCCACATCCAGCCAAGCCAAATAGATAAGAGGGAATCTGATTGCTCATTGATTGGTCCCTCTGCAGGCGGGCAGGTTCTTGTTTGGTGGAGTTGGACCTCGCTGCGTTCAAGGGCCCTTTGATTGGGCCAGAAAGAGTGAAACCACTGTGACCACACATCAGGAAGATGATCAAAGAAGCTGACTTTTGGCTACTCGTGTTCAAAACTAACCCCAAACAGATGATTGTTACTCACAGATGGCTCAGTACTAACACGTGTCAAAGACAGAGCTGATATAGGCTGTGGAGGTGACACCTGAATTAGCTTAAGTTTAATATAAAGACCTATTGTGTAACCGTACTGGGTTTTTCCCTCTTGCTCCTGATTTTGTTTGTGTTTATACCATTAACTTTTTTCCTCATTTATGGATTGACTGATTATACCTTGTGACCATCTGTTTTTACAGCGTGACATATGGAGTGTGTTTGGATAATTGCAAAGAGATTATTTTCTATCTGCAAGACCTATTCCATACAAAAGACCTATAGAAAAACAAACAAACAAATTCAAACACCGGGGCTTTGCCACCAGAGGCAATGGCATATATTACCTGTAAAGTTGGATGGTACAGTGCCATTATTCAGGGGGGCAATGACTTTTTAGTGTTTGTCCTCTGGGGGGCCCACTAGACCTGTTCATAGATCCGTTCAGTGGCCAGCCTTGAATGTTTTAGCCAATCATCCATGCGTTGGCAGTTCGAGTTTCATCTCTAGATGTGTTTTTGTAAAGATTATGTCCAGCTTTAACCAAATTACCTCACAATATTTAGTAATAATCTTGTAATTAATGTAAAATACCCTCTTTCTCTCGGCTGCATTACTATAATTAAATGCTCTTAAAAGAAATAAGAGAGGAATTCACTGCAGTCTGAAACTACTTTAATAACAGGCTTTCAAATCCATTGGAATATGGCATTTATTAGGATTTTCATGGCATGTCAGTGTGAATGTGTCTCAGTGCGTCACTATTAAACCAGAGAGAAGGGTGTCATGGATTGACCTGTGGTCTCAATGGCCCCCAGTCTTCACAGAGCAGCTCCAGACACATGTAGGCGACAGTGTTAAGTGTCATAATTTCACTGTTTTTTCAGACATAAATACAGAGACGTAGGTGTCAAAGGTCAGCTGCATAAAACTTCCCTAGTTAGAGGTCAGTAGACTCATATCGGGGGGTTGGTGGTGGTGGCACCTTGAAACAAAAAGGCAATTCACGGGCGAAAAAAAAAATTACGACATCTGACTCTACTTCCTGCCACAAAACGAACAGAAAATGAATTGTTACACTGGACTACAAAGGCCTGCATGCACCACAGAAGAAGAAACACTTAAGTGGGCTCAATGCAGCGGAGGATTACAGGCTGTATATTGGATTGTATTTTTCTCGATATCTCACTGAAGAGTCATTTAAAAGCATTTTCTAGTTTGTCACATACAGTCAGTAAGTGACTGGCAATACCACATCCATGATAAGTGTTTCTATTTAAAGCTCAGATACGCACCAACAGTATGTAGTACACAAAATAACCATTTCTCTCAAATATTGTTCACAAATCTGAAAAAATCTGTGATAATAATAATAATAATAATAATAACTTTTATTTATATAGCGCTTTTCAATAACCCAAAGTCGCTTACAAAAAAAATTAAAAGTACAGAAAGGGGGTGAACAGGCAGAAGACAACATATTGGACAAGAAAATTGAACATGAACATTACATGAACAGGCAAAGGACAACACAGGGGGGGAGCAAGCATAGGACAACGAGCAAAAGACAACATAATGGAAAAGAGGAAAGAAAAAGTTGATGAATGTATGAATAAGAGATGCAGCGTGGGGTGAATAAGAGATACAGCGTGGGGTGTGANAATAAGCGTTGCTTGGCAACAGTGTGTGGCCGCAAAGTATAGCGCAGCATTATGCATATGTTTATATGAGGGGTCAAAATCCCATGCTCATAAAATGCTGAGCATTTTATGAGCATGGGATTTTGACCCCTCATATAAACATATGCATAATGCTGCGCTATACTTTGCGGCCACACACTGTTGCCAAGCAACGCTTATTGTTTAGGTCCTATGATAAGCAGGCAGTCGTATAATTAACTAGATCTAGCTAGATCTAATAGATTTGAACATAAACGCGAGGGAAGTATAACCGGATGCGAGAGAGAGAGATCAGAGATCATATCACTAAGAGTTAGAGCTAACACACTTAGCAAGCTTATCTACTCTGGAACTAGCTAAACTAGTTATACATATATTTATTCTTTACTGTCGGGTAACTTATTACTGGTTCAGCGAGCTGCACGAGACTGACGGGTTGTCAGGAGAGGGAGAGGAAAAGAGAGCATCCCGTTTATTTTCCCCATTTTATTATCCAGAATTACTGTAAACCTTTGAATAAAGTAGTTCATCTACTATTAGTAGTTTGTTTAAATGCATTAATTATGTTGTTTTTTTCACTAATAAAATAAATCTCACATACCCCCTACAGTACTTCAACGTACCCCTAGGGGTCCGCGTACCCCCATTTGAGAACCACTGATCTAACCCTCTTCAAAAAAAGCTAATTAGTGCATTTTCCAAAATGTCAACTATCCTTCGCCCCTTGATGATGATTGATCCTCTCTGTGGTGTTTTTGCACTGTCCAAAGGTCAATGAGTGTTAGCCCTGTGGTTTCATGTCTCCTTGGATTTTCTACAACATGAAGAGCCTTTCTTTTCTTTGAAGCCATGGTTTCTTTTCGCTGTTTCATGCCACCCTATTCTTCTTGCATGTACTCCAAAATTAGTTCTGCTACTGAAAACAGAGAGCACTTCCTGTTCACCCTGAAGAGCGTGGTTAATGTTAAATAATATGTGTCTGTGTGTGTGTGTGTGTGTGAGAGAGAGAGAGAGAGAGAGAGAGA